CTCTTTGCCGGCCCGCTGGAGCCCAAACTGTGCAGAGCAAGCCGGGTGGGGTCGACTTCTGGTCCACCCTAGCACTGGGCATCGCGGTTGCGCCCCTGGCTGCGGCTCTTCCCGGACCCAAGCGGTGCTCAGCCAGTGGCTCAGCCGCCCGGTTCCGCGGTCTGACCACCCCAAAACGCAGCAACCCTGCGGGACGCCAGGCCGTGGGGCTCCGCGGCTCCCAGCCCCAGACATCATCCTCCGGCCTTTCCAGAAGACAAAAGAGGTGTTTCTGGACTTTGAAGTGGCAGGCACGATGGGCGACTCCGAGGTCGCCCTCACCGCCTGCTGTGTCACGTGTCCGCCGCCAGTCACTGCCCAAAGTAAGGCGACAGCCGCTTGCGAGTGACGGCTGCCCAACGTGGAACTCTGGAGGGACCGGCGGGGGACGGGGGGACCTTCCAGAGCAGTCCCTGCGGAGGGATCGTGGGAACTTGCTTTAGTCCTGTCCCCCTTCTCCAACAGAGAGGCGAGAGGCGCAGGTTATCTGCTCAGACGAAAAGGAAAGGGCTGTGAACCCCCAGGGTGTGCTGACCTTATAGGGAGCGAGGTGCCAGTACTCCCAGATGCCACAGACAGGCGCCTGTAGAAGAAGAAGGGAGGGGAGAGGAAGCCAGGGAAGGAGGAGTAAAGCCAGAAGTAGCAGAAGCCTGAAGATGTGACTGAATTGATGTGATCTGATATGAGATAAAGGATGTTAGCACAGTCTGTCAGGAAACTTTACAAGTAACCTTCACATTAATACAACCTAAACGGATGAGGAGTTGCTTCTTATGCATGAGTAAGAAAGTGGTTTCTTAACATGGAATCTACTCCTGGTGACCATGTTGTAAGGACTGTTGATCACTGTTGTCTTATTTTAAGAAACTGCCATGGCCTCTCCATCCTTTGACAGATACCACCCTGATCAGTTAGCAGCACTGACAATGAGGCAAGATCCTCCACAGCACAAATGATTACGACTCTCTGAAGGCTCAGATGATCACTGGCATTTTTTGGCAATAATTCTTAATTAAGGTATTACATTACTTTGCGAGATAGCATGCTATTGCACACTTAATAGACTATAGTGTAAACTTAACCTTTATATGCACCAGGAAACGAAAAATTTATGTGACTCACTTCATTGCACTATTCATTTTATTGCCAAGGTCTGGAACTGAAACCAAAATATCTCCAAGTATGCTTGTATGAACACAGGGCATAGAGAATTGCTTCTCTCATTAATTTTTCTCCCACGAAGGAGATAAAAACATTCTAGGATGAGTGTAGAAAAAGAGTGGGAGTTCAGGGGAGTTAGGATCTGGTGATAGTTTCTGCTCCTAACACCAAGATAATCTCTAAGGTGAGAGGATTACAGAACCCTCACCAGGTTTGGGGACTTGAGAGAGGAAAGAGGACTTTCACCCTGCTCCCTCAGGACTCCCAGGAGGTGGCAGCCTGCCTTCCCCATACCATGATGGTATGGAAACAGTTCTACTGAATGAGGCTGAGATCCTGGGTGGCCCCTACAAGGCTCCCTCAGGCCCATGTAAGACGTATTTCCTCCAGTAGGGTGTCAAAGTCAGTCAGTGAGAGAAAGCTGGAGGGGGGAGCTGCAGCAGGGACAAGCATGGGCCACGTGGTCCAAGGCTGGGGAAAAGGAGGCTTCATAGTTGCCAAAGTGGAATGAGGGAAACACACACCTGCAACTCCTAGGCTGGCAGCCCAAGGCAGAACACAACTGCAAACCACCCCAATGCCAATGCATGCCCACGCACGCCCTTGCACAGTCACGGCATAAAATTGAGATCCATCAAAGGAACAGGGTCAGAAGAAAATTAAATCCTGAATTGAATTTTCATTTAAAATCACCGAGAACAGGGGTGGCACCAGTAGCTCAGTGGGCAGGGAGCTGGCCACAGACACCAGGGCTGGCAGTTCGAACCTGGTGTCTGGGTGTGAGCCACTATATCTGGCCCCTAATTCCTATTTTGAACAACAATGACAACTGCAACAACAACAAAAATAGCCAGGCGTTGTGTCAGGTGCCTGTGGTCCCAGCTACTTGGGAGGCTGAGGCAAAAGAATCAGTTAAGCCCAAAAGTTTGAGGGTGCTGTGAGCTGCAATACTGATACAGGACAGGTGGTGCCCCAGTCAGCTGGGGGGAGATGAGGTGCAGACTTCCTGCCTCCACATTGGTGGTGTTGGTGCAGTGGTAGCAGGCAGAGGAACCAGTGGGCTGGAGGACAAGCAAGAGGCCCTCCTAGGAGGTTCCAGTAGCCAGAGGGGCTAGATAATTGCTGGGGAGACACCAGCACCTTAGGTTTCCCTCCCCTTGCACTTAAGGCTGGACAAGGAACTCCCTTTTCCTAGGCTTGGTCAATTTCATCCAAATTTCCTAGGCCTCAGAAGGAAAGGTATTGTAGCCATTCATTTGCCACCCAGACACGCTAAATTAAGGTGACCAGACATCTGGCTTTTGGTGGGACAGTCCCAATTTTTAACAATTTGTCCTGCCTCCCATGGTGTTTTTAAAAAGTCCTGGTTTTTGGAAAGAATGCATAACAAGCTAGGGAACAGCAGGAGAAGGGAAGGGAATATATCGGCTGCTGAAAAGGTTAATGTAACTCCATTTGGGAATGAAGAGGTTAATGTAACTTCATTTGCAAATGAAAAGGCTAATGTAAACTCCCTACTCCCCTCCTGGGCAAGGTATCAGAAGGAGACTGGCTCCCTCCCTTGCTTCTAGGCAAGGACAATTAGCTCAGGAGCCAAACTGGAACAAACAAGTAGCCCCCCCTCTCTAGAATAAGGTGACCAGATGTCCCGCTTTTGACAAGACAGTCCTGATTTTTAACAATTTGTCCTGTATTCTGTGGCATTTTTAAAAAGCCCCAATTTTTGGAAAGAATGCACAACAAGCTAGGGAACACAGGAGAACAGGAAAGGAATATACGGTTTTCGGCTGCCATGTGGCTATTTCACCAGGATATGTGTTTTATATTATTTTTATTAATTGTATAATGTTAAACTTTAATAATAACAAATAATTGTTGAGAACTGATTATCGAGAACTGCTTATCAAAGTTTGCATTGTTGTCAGGCCTCGTGTCCCCCCCCAATGGTGTCCCTCTTTACCAATGTTAAAATCTGGTCACCTTACGCTAAATGTAACTACAGAGGGCCCCATGCAACTACATACACCCCTTGACAAAATTGCCCAGGGTCAGACAGAGAGGGAGGGAGAGAGCTTTTCTTTTTCTTCTTTTTTTTTGTTTGCAGTTTTTAGCCGGGGCTGGGTTTGAACCCACCACCTCTGGTAGTGGGGGCTGGCATCCTACTCCTTTCAGCCACACGCTCCGCCCAGGAGAGAGCTTTTCTCTCCTGACTTGGGTTTTCTCTCTTTGCCAAGAGTTCTGGTGTTTTGTATTCTTTTCTGTAGATAAATCCTGTCTGAACACTGATCTGTGGCCTGCAGATTCATTCTTCAAATCACCGAGACCAAGAACCTACTGAAGAGCAAAATTCATCAATGCCACGGCACTGTACCCAGGGTGACAGCTTGAGACTCTGTCTCAAAAAAAGAAAGAAAGAAAGAAAGAACTGAGAACACCCTTAGGTCACTGAGAAAAAATAAACTGGAATTTTTTTTTCTGCTATCTGAGGGAATGGAGGTTCAAAATAGGAATTAGGGGCCAGATATAGTGACTCACACCTAGCACTCTGGTGTTAGACCACAGGATCCCTTGAGCTTAGGAGACCAGCATGAGCAAGAGTGAGACTCTGTCTCTACTAAAAATAGAAAAAAATAGCTAGGCATTGTGGCAGGCACCTGTAGTCCCAGGTACTCCAGAGACTAAGACAGGAAGTTTGAACCCAGGAGTTTGAGGTTGCTGTGAGCTAGGTTGATGTCAGGGCACTAGCCCAGCAACAGAGTGAGGCTGCCACTAAAATAAATTAATTAATTTAATCAAATGAGCAAAAACCTATTTAAAAAAAAATTTTTTTGAGACAGTCTTACTATGTCGCCCTCGGTAGAGTGCTGTGGTGTCACAGCTCACAGAAACCTCAAACTCTCCGGCTTAAGCGATTCTCTTGCCTCAGCCTCCCAAGTAGCTGGGACTACAGGCACCCACCACAACGCCTGGTTATTTTTTGTTGCAATTGTCATTGTTGTTTAGCTGACCTGGGCCGGGTTGGAACCCACCAGCCTCGGTGTAGGTGGCTGGTGCTGTAACCACTGTACTACGGACACCGAACCTTAAAAAAAAGTGTTTAATAGGAATTAGGTACAGTTATAGAAAAATGAAGTTACTTTTTGAATCCCTAAGTTCATGGCCTATGAAAATCACAGCTACTACATGTTCTCTCAAAATAGCAGTCTGATTCACTACAGCCAGAAGGTGGAAGCAACCAGGGGCCATATGGATTAATAGATAAATAGTATGTGGTACAGACATACAATGAATGTTGTTTAGCCTTGAAAAGGAAGAATATTCTGACACATGGTACAACATGCATAGACCTGGAGGACATTATACTTAAGTAAAATAAGCCAGTCCCAAAAAGGTAAACATTGTATGATTCCAATGACACGCAGTACCTGGAACAGTCTTATTCAAAGACTAAAGGTAGAATGGAGCTTACTAGGGGCAAGCCGGGAGAGCAGAAAGGGAATTACAGGTGCAGAATGTCAGTTGAAGATGATGAGTAAATTCTGTAGAAAGACAGCGGTGGCAGCTGTACACCAGTGAGAATGTGATCAGTGTCACAGGACTGTTCCCTTAAAAATGGTTAAGGTGACGACGGTCGGGGCGGAGCCTAGGAAGCCGCGGGCGGCGGTTGGAGGCCCGGGAGCCGCGGCTGCGCGGAGGCGGAGCTAGAGGCCGGGCGCGCGCCTGGGGGACGCGCCGGATCCGCTGGGCTCGGCCGCGCCGGCCCCGGAGACCACCTGCGCTTCTCGGCGGTTGTCTGCCCTGCCCCCGCGAGGATGCGGCTGTTCCGGCGGCTGCTGAAGCCGCCGGTGCCCGAGCAGATCGAGCACTACTCGCGCTTTTCGCCGTCGCCGCTCTCCATCAAACAGTTCCTGGACTTCGGGAGAGACAACGCATGTGAGAAAACTTCTTATATGTTTCTACGAAAGGAGCTTCCGGTACGCCTGGCTAACACCATGAGAGAAGTTAATCTTCTGCCGGATAATTTACTTAACCGCCCTTCAGTGGGACTGGTTAAGAGTTGGTATATGCAGAGCTTTCTGGAACTCCTAGAATATGAAAATAAGAGCCCTGAGGATCCACGGGTCTTGGATAACTTTCTACAAGTTCTGATCAAAGTCAGAAATAGGCACAATGATGTGGTTCCTACAATGGCACAAGGAGTGATTGAATACAAGGAGAAGTTTGGATTCGATCCTTTCGTTAACAGTAACATTCAGTATTTTCTGGATCGATTTTACACCAACCGCATCTCTTTCCGCATGCTTATCAACCAGCACACACTTCTGTTTGGTGGTGACACTAATCCTGCTCATCCTAAACACATAGGGAGTATTGATCCTACCTGTAACGTGGCTGACGTGGTGAAAGATGCCTATGAAACAGCCAAGATGCTATGTGAACAGTACTACCTGGTAGCTCCAGATCTGGAAGTCGAAGAATTCAATGCCAAAGCGCCAGACAAACCTATTCAGGTAGTTTATGTGCCCTCACATCTGTTTCACATGCTATTTGAGTTGTTCAAGAACTCAATGAGAGCAACGGTGGAACTCCATGAAGATAGAAAAGAAGGCTACCCGGCTGTTAAAACCCTTGTTACCCTGGGGAAAGAAGACTTATCCATTAAGATAAGTGACCTAGGTGGTGGTGTCCCACTCCGAAAAATAGATCGTCTTTTTAACTACATGTATTCAACTGCTCCTAGACCTAGCCTGGAGCCTACAAGAGCTGCCCCTTTGGCTGGATTTGGTTACGGCTTGCCAATTTCTCGTCTGTATGCTAGATATTTTCAGGGAGATTTGAAACTGTATTCCATGGAAGGAGTGGGTACTGATGCTGTCATTTATTTGAAGGCTCTTTCAAGTGAATCATTTGAGAGACTTCCAGTTTTTAATAAGTCTGCATGGCGTCATTACAAGACCACTCCTGAAGCTGACGATTGGAGCAATCCCAGCAAGGAACCTAAGGACGCTTCAAAATATAAAGCTAAACAGGACAAGATCCAGACTAATAGAACTTTGTAGAGAACTGAATGCCGTGGTCCTCTCTATAAAGAAAGAATGTCTTCTGCAAGTCAACCAGAGAGAAATCCTCCCACCAACTCTGAGGGTGGCACCATAGTTATTCTTAGTGCTTGATGATGTATTTTCTCTGTACCAGCTGGACCTTTGCATGGAGTTTTCCCTGTAGCCTCCTTGGAGCTCTAGTGCCCTCATGCTTTCCATGACCTCATCATAGTCTCTAGTGTCTACAGTGCCCCCAGAATTAGAGACCCTTCTCCATTCCAGAAACAACAGATCCTGCTGTTGCTCTTTGTAACCAAATACCATAATTTATCCCAAAGCCCCAACTAGGGCGGGAAGAACCTGGAAGTGGAAGACATCAGCTGAGCATGCCTTGATGATTCCTTCCCAGGGCCCTTCCTCTCTCCTGTGCGTCCCTCCTCCACTGTCTGGTTTAGACTTTGCCTCCTTCCATCTGATGGGATTCTCATTGTGAGGTGTGGCTACTTTCATCTTAGATCTTACTCACTGATGCCTTGATTTTATTTTAAAAATCGCGTGTGTACTTCTGTTGATTAAAGTGTTACAAAAGTTGAAAAAAATGATAAATGTCATGTTCATGTATATTTAACCACATTTTTTTTTTTTTGAGACAGGAGCCTCAAGCTGTCCCCCTGGGTAGGGTGCTGTGGCATCACAGCTCACAGCAACCTACAACTCCTGGGCTCAAGGGAGTCTCCTGCCTCAGCCTCCCAAATAGCTGGGAGGCGCCCGCCACAATGCCTGGCTATTTTTTGGTTGCAGCTGTCATTGTTGTTTGGCAGGCTGGGGCTGGTTTCGAACCCGCCACCTTGGGTGTACGTGGCTGGCACCTTAGCCACTTGAGCCACAGGTGCCTAGCCAACCACACTTTTTTAAACTATAGTCCATAAACTTTTCTACTTTCTGAAAGCTGCTCTATGTCTTTCAGTAAATTTCATTTCGTGGTTTAAAATTCTTACAACAACAAAACATATAAAAAAATAAAAATAAATTCTTGCAGCTAAAGGTTCTAACTAATCATGAAGAGTTAGCTGGTGCCCACACTGCAGGATATACTCAGCAAGCCCATCCCAACAGGTCAAAGACAGGAAAATTTTTGAACTACAGGATTTAGTTTTGCTTTTTGCCAATAATGTCTAGCCTCATCCTGATTTCTCTCACCTTGAATTCTCTTTCCAAGTCTCTCCCCAACGTGCAAGCAACCCCCTTCCTAGTGCCTCCAGTGGTAGTCCGCCCCCAACCTGGACGTGCTCACATCTCCTGATCTGGATCTGTCACCATCTTTTTTTTAGGAGACAGGGTCCTTCAGCTCCTCCCTAAATTCTCCCCTGCAGCCTCTTCCCATCCTTCTTCCTGCTGAGGCAGGGCCCACTCTAACTGCAGCGTGCAGTGTTACAGAAAAGGCTGGGTGGTCTTTTGTGATTGGCTTCTTTTTTTTTTTTTTTTTGCAGTTTTTAGCCGGGACTGGGTTTGAACCTGCCACCTCCAGCATATGGGGCCGGCACCCTACTCCTTTGAGCCACAGGTGCTGCCCCATGATTGGCTTTTTTCACTTACTGTGTCTTCAAAGGTCATCATTATGGCAACATGTGTCAGTACTTCGTTTCTTTTTTTATTGTCAAATAATTTCCATTGTATGCATGTACAACATTCAGTTTATCCACTCAATAACTGATGGACATTTAGATTGTTTGCACTCTTTGGCTATTGTGAATGATGCTGCCGTGAACATTGTGTTTTTGTGTGGCTGTAGGTTTTTCAGTTCTCTCAAGTATGTCCTAGGTGGAATGGTTGAGTTACATGGTAACTTCATGCTTAACACCTTGAGGACTCGCCAGAGTTCCACAGCAGCAGAAATCAGTTGCGAACCCCTAATGCCAAGTAGTGATCAAAACTGAAGACTAAAGAAGCAGACAAGTAAGTAATTGCTGACAGAGAAGATGATGGGCTGGCTAAAGAAAAGGGAAACCCCTGGCAGCACCTCCTCCTTCACTTGTCTGAGCCTTAATCCCCTGAGGAGTCACACAGCATGGGCCACAGGATAGCTTCAAAAATCAGATGGGGTGATGAATACAAAAATGCTTCCACAAAGAAAAAAGTGGCTTAAAATTTTTCTCTAATTTCATACGAATATTAATTGTAGCATCTTTCTTTCAATAATGCCAATTTAGGCCAGACTCAGTGGCTCACGCCTATAATCCTAGCACTCTGGGAGGCTGAAGCAGGTTGAGCTCAGGAGTTCAAGATCAGCCTGAGCAAGAGCAAAACCCCAACTTTACTAAAAATTGAAAAACTAACCAGGCCTTGTGGTGGGTATACAGTCCCAGCTACTCAGGAGGCTGAGGCAAGAAGATTGCCTGAGCCCAGAAGTTTGAGAGTTCAAGGTTGCTGTGAGCTATGACGCCACTGTATGCTAGCCTGGGACAAAAGAGTGAGACTCTATCTCAAAAGAAAAAAGAAGAAGAAAAAAAAAAAAGGAAAGAAAGCCAACTATGTACAAAAGGGACAATGTAAAATATGCTAAGGGACCGAAGTGGCGTGACCGTGGAACCTGGGCATGTCCATGAACTTGCTGAGAACGACAGACCAAAAGATCTCTCTGGACCATTCTGGAAGAAACTTAGCAAAAGGGAAGGGACATTCAAATGAGCAGTTAGCAAAATGAAAATGCTGATCACAAGTATCTCAAAAAGAAAAGGTTTTTTTATGAAAAGTTTTTAAAAAGTCAGCATGTTTAGGATAAATCACAATGCAAAAAATATACATTGCATTTTTATAATTTTTTTGTAATTTGCCAGTTTTCTATGATGGCTCCATATTTCAAATAAAAATAATACAAGTCAAAAAGAAGGAAAACATATATAATTTTTCATAAAGGAATGATATACACATTTAAATATTCCCCCAAAAGTGTCTCCACAACCCCTACCATACTTTTGACAGAATACCAGACAATATCAACTATTCTCTCCTCTCCTTTCAATACGTATTTCAAAAATAATGATTGAAGCCAAAATTTTTCTTCTGGAATCAGCTCACAAAATGTGCCAACCTCATCCTTTCCCTCCCAGGAAGGTATTTAGAGAAATATTCATATTTTCAGATTGTTTTCAGTTTAAGGAAACTTAGAGCTGCTTTTCAACACAGGCAGGCCACACCCCAAGAACCTAGTGCCTGTCCAGCCAGTTTTGTGAAGCAAGATGGAGTCACATCCTTGTTTTTTGAGGGCTGAGATTGTACCTAAGGCACCAAATACAATAAGCCACACAAACCTCCTGGGCAGGACTCCTCTCATTTTCCTAGTAATGCCCATCTCTGGGGCAGTCCCAGGAAAGCTGATGGCCAAACTCTCCTAGAAATAGCTAAGGGAAGAGTTGTGTCTATCCCAGCTTAGTCCTTGTTCTTTGTTTTGTAAATTTGAAAGTTAACTTCTGTATGCAAACAAAATTCCAAAACTTACTAATTTTTAACAGTAATTATGAATCTTTGTCTTACAAATCAAATCAAATCAGTTGTATTTGTCCTGGTCTAACAGCTTATTAAAATCGAGAAGCTTGGCTCGCCTGTAGCTCAAGCAGCTAGGGCGTCAGCCACATACAGCAGAGCTGGCGGGTTCGAATCCAGCCTGGGCATGCCAAACAACAATGACAACTCCAACCAAAAAATAGCTGGGTGTTGTGGCAGGTGCCTGTAGTCCCAGCAGGAGGTTGCGGCGAAAGAATCATTTAAGCCCCAGAGTTTAAGGTTGCTGTGAGCTGTGACACTGTGGCACTCTACCCAGGGTGACAGCTTGAAACTCTGTCTTAAAAAATAAATAAATAAATAAAAGATAAAATAAAATAGAAAAGCTCAGCCAGGCATTGTAGCAGGGACCTGTAGTCCCAGCTACTCGGGAGGCTGAAGCAAGAGAATCACTTAAGCCCAAGGGTTAGAGGTTGCTGTGAGCTGTGACACCACCGCACTCTACAGAGGGCAATAAAGTGAGACTCTGTTTTTTTAAAAAAAAAAAAA